ACGGGTGGCGGATCTGACGGGAGCTCGGGCGGTAGGGTCAAGCCATCTTCCTTCCTCTAAAAAATTTTGAAATATCGTTCGGCGAAAGTTATTTTTAATTTTATGGTGTTATTTCTATGATTATATTTCCTTCAGTCGAATTGCGATATATGGTTTACGATTTTAATTTAATCATATTTCTTTCGGTCCAATTGTGATATGTGGTTTATAATTTTAATTTATATCGATCAATTTTATTTAGAATCCGTTGCAACACACGGGCATTATGCTAGTCTACTATTATAAAATGTAAAAATGTTTCATCCAAAATTTTGGTACGTCATCCGTGTTCGAATCGGTTTTAATTTTATGTTTCAGTCAAATCCTTTTCTTTTATTTTATGCCAAAGTGTCCGTCTTATCCGAGACGCGCGTAAATTAATTGGGCACGCACTTTTCATACGTCCCTTGCCGCACGCAACACCCTTGTGTGTGTGATTTTCTGCATGCCAGATTGGGCCCGCGACACCCTCGCGTGCGCGATTTGCCTTTGTCGCATGTTTGATTGGGACTGTATCGTCCTCACCCGTGATTTAAAAATTGAAGATGTTTTTTGTCGAAACTATGGAATGTCGACCGTATCTGACGGAGCGCGGGGCTCCTCACCGGGAGACCGCACAGGCCCCCCTTTGCCGGTTCGGCCGGGGGCTCAGGGTGAGATCCCAAGCTCTCTCTGTATGTGGAAAGATCGCGACCTATCGAAAGAGCATGAAACATAAGCGATGTATACAGGTTCGGGCCGCTGAGAAGCGTAATACCCTACTCCTGTGTTTTTGTGGATCTGAGTATCAAGGAGCTACAAAGTGTGAGCCAACCTCCCCCTTCTTCTCCTTTGTTCTCGGTCCCCAATCTGGAAAAGATCCTTCTTTTATACTTCAAGGGGATACCACATGCACCCCTCTCTTTCCAAACTGGACTTTTCTTCTCTTCATAAATGGACGGAGATTTGCACGGTTGTCCTCCGAACATCTTCCTGACGGGACGGCACACACCTACCTCCACTTCTGCCGGAGGCAGGCGCGTCGTGGGAATGTGGCTGTGTGCTGACGACATGAGCAGTGTCAGACCGGTCACAAATCAGTCATTCTTGTCTACCACGCGTCAGCTTAGCAACGTGCATGTTTGCCCTTCTTCACACAACATCTTGCCTGTAATGGTTAGGATGAAGCCTGGCATATATCGACTGGGGCTAACGTGCCATCTCTGGGATGTAACACGCTAGCTCCAGCTGGGGACGAGTGCCTAGAAGCTCTCGTCTTGACGGGATGGGGCGAAGCGTGCGTCAGACCGCCTGTCGCCACCTAACCCGCGATCTGACCGGTCTGTGACCGGTCACAGACCGGATAAACGAGTGCACTGCACTGCACTTCGTGCGGTGTGACACGTTTAGCCGAGGCGCAATAAATGCGGTTAGGTGAGCCCCGCTGTGCTCACCTAACCCATACACGCGGAGTAGAAACCGCGAGGGGTCGGGGCGCCTCGGCCCTCTGGGGCGAGGCAGGAGTGGTCCGACCCCCCCCCTCGGGGAGACCAAGAGGTGGGCGCACACATCACCCTCGGGCCCGACGTCTCCCGAGGGTGCCAGGCCACGTGGGTGATTGTGTCTGCCTCAAGCCTCTAGTCATGATACTCCCGGTCCCATGTCACCGACAGTATCCGATTCCCGTCACGCGTAACATTCATTGCAAAGTCATTACTCGCAAACGAACTGCGAAAGAGAGTCCGTGTGATGTAGATACCAAGTGAATGAAATTCGCAGACTCCGTATGGATATCATGTACATCGTTGCTTAGATCATCCGATTCTATTCGCATTACACAACACGATTCCTAGGACATGTTAGCATAATTTCAAGTCAGTCTCCACACATGCTCGTATGTACTATTAGGGATACCATTACAATAATACATAAGAATCAATTTTACTTTCGAAAAGAGCATGCCAACTAAAATAAAAAGATGATCGAAGTTGTTGATTCCGTCCGTCATCAATTCTTGCCTGACTTGAGATAAAGCTGGATGACAAATTGGGCTCGTGTTTGAATGCCTCATTGTTTGGCTTATGCTTATTCCTATAAGCCGAATTTAAATTTTAGAACTTATTGACACACAAATAGCCTTTTATTTGGTAATAAGTGATTCAGGTATGCACATGAATAGACGAAATAATGAACTTTGATTATTTATCTACTGACATATGTTCAAATTAAATTGGCTCTACCCGTTGCAACGCACGGGCATCTTTTCTGGTAAAGAATAAGTAAAGGGACCTGAGTTAGACTTTTGGGATGGATGGACTCCACAGGGAGGAGGGGGAGTACTGGGCCGGTTGTAGTGCTGGGCCTGCCATGTGCTGGAAGAGGAAAAGATGGCCCAAGTGTAATAGGATCCTTTTGGATAATTGCTAGGAATTTTTGTATTTTGCCAATGAGTTTGGATTAGAATTTTGAAAGGAATTTGTATTAGAATTTGCTCTGGAGATTGTAAATGGATTGTATAGTTGGACATTTATCTTGCCTTTGTAATTGGACTGTTAAATAGGATGAGATTTGATTCGGCTGCTTAGTCGATCAAGGACTAAACTTAGGATTTCTTTGCAATTGCCTGAACGAACGGATGACGATATCGAAGAGGGGTTTAGAATCGGCGCATGGCATACAAATTCATTGGATATTTCAAAGGTAGGGACAATTTCAACGATATTTGGATCAACACACGACGGTCGACTTCGCCGAACGATTTTAGGGTTTTAAATGAAAGGCCGAACTCAAGGATTTTGAGTAAAAGGAAACAGGGAAAAAGAATCTGAGGAAGGCTGAGCTGGAGTGTTTTTCGATTCAACTCTAGTGTTCCAAAGTTTCGGGAAAAGATACGATATAGCAACAATTGAAAAGGGTTTCGGGACTTCTATTAGCTTTGCACCAAAGTGCTTAACGAAACAGACGGAGAGGGGAGAGGACAAGGAAGGACATCGAACGGAGGACATCCTTTAGAAGGAACGATTTAATCATAGTAGTCAAAGATTCAAGGGAATGACGCAATATTGTGATAATAGGGTTCTCGGGATATCGATTATGGAATTGCAATTACCGGAATAAATGGTGGGTTGAGAGGTCAATGAAGGGAGATTACCTTGAGAGGCGATTCGGGAGAAACTACTGGGTTTGGGTATTTCCATTTACGGGAATAATTTGTTCGGGAGACGATCAATTTAAAAGGAGGATGGAACTACGGAATTTGAATCCCAAGGGATTTAATGTATGGCGAGAGTTGGGATTTACAAGGATTGATTTAATCAAGATCTTTGGCACAAAATCCTAAATGCACTCAAAGAAAACACATGTTCTATTGTGCGAGCTGGGCTAGGCCCTTCAGGGAGGAAAACTAGACGTTTTCATGAATTATGTTGAAATAAGATCTTTTTATATTTAGGTTTGTAAATAGAGTTTTGATGGCAAATTCTCACTAGCCTTTATTTATAGAACAAATATAAAAGATTATTTCTTAAAAAGGATTTTCAAATATTAATTAATCAATATTGATAAAATAACTTCCTCCGGGAATTGTCCCTAAAGCGGTTTTCTTTAAAGATTTAATGATTATAGACATTCGTAAATCAAACACCCAAAGGGGGTTCTAAATTATAAAAACAAGGGGAGGAAAATGATTTATCTTTACAAATACTTTCTTATTTCATAATCATAGTTCTTTTAATAATATTTGAATCCAAAATAGATTTTATTCCAGATTCCCATCCTTGTGGTCCAAGCACAACAGAAAAGGTAAAATAAGATCCAATAAACTCCAGCACGAAGGAATTTGGAAAAAGATTTTTGATTATTCCGAATTTTGTTTTTGTATTTCAAATTCGAAATTTTCAAGGTGTTACAGAGGCGCCAAAGTGGTGGCTGCGCATTGAAGGTTTTCGAACGGTGGTGGCAGCAGAGTGTGACGGGAACCTTTCGTGGGAGGGGCGAAATAATTATGGGCGAAAGCTATGCCTTCGGGCCGGCAACGACGACGCCTGTGGGTGCCGTCTTCCTCTTGGGGCATTGCTGCATAATCTCGTCTCTCCTAGTTACTTTCTTCTCGGCGTCGTTTTGAAGATTGCTAGTTCTTGTTTTCGCTCTCATAGCAGGTGTTGTGGTAGACGTGCGGTGTGGCTGTTTTTTCTTTTCTGACTATAGTCTTACAGGACTATAGACTTGTATTTTTCTCCTCCTTTATCAATACATGAAACTCGCGCTGTCTTGTGCGGTTCGTTTAAAAAAAAATTCTTTATGTAGAAGCAAGTATGCTGCTAGAGTACAAGCTTACATGTGTTTAATTTATCTGTTCGAAGTAACAATTAACCGTACTTTAGAGAAAGTAAGTACATATAGAGAAATAGAAGTAACTGTGCTAATATTTTGTAACGAACAATTGGCTTTACAAATGATTGTTTCAGTGAAATTGGGTTGAAATATACTTGGATGTTGGAGTGAATGTGACTTACTAACGTCGGTCAGTTGTGATATCTTGAAATAGTTGTTTTGTCTAATTGTGACGCTCTTTTGAGGTTTACTTCAAGAAAGATTCACCATTAACATTGTAAGTTTCTTTGTCTACAATCTTTTAGAAGGCTACAGTGGTACACTGATATTTTCTGCTACTATTGAATAGTTGACATAAATAAATACCATATATTTGAATAAGTAAGAAGGAAGTCGTTTTGACATTAGTCAAAATCAAAATGTTTTAGGTTTGACCAAGTTTATAGAAAAATGTAGTTACATTTTTAACCCAAGACAAATATATTATGAAAATATATTTAAGCATAGATTTAATGAAACTAATTTTGGTTGTAAATATTACTATATTTGTCTACAAATTTCTTCAAATTAAGTTTAACTTTAGCCAAAATCAGAATGTGTTATAATCTGAAACGGAAGGAACGGAAGGAGTAACAAGTTATACTACCATATTTGATAAAAAAAATATTCCACGATATATTATAATATGTTTTCTCCTATCCAGAACAAAGCATGGAGATTTTGCTAATAGTAAATACATCTCAAAGATAACTATATATCATTATTCAACGAGCAACAGCTTCCAATGAATATAATGGTTCACATCCTTCCTCTGGGCGTGAGGTGGACATGAAGCGGGTGGAGCTTGTAGGCGGTGAGCTGCACGGTGTCCACCTTCTCCTCGTCACCCTCCCTCAGCCTCCACCCAAACTCCTGCACGAAGCGCGCGATGGCGGCGCACGCGATGTGAGTCGCCTGCAGGCTCCCTGCGCAGACCCTCCTCCCGGCGCCGAACGCCATCGTCTTGTACATGTCCGCCACCTTGAACCTCCCACCGGCGAACCTCTCCGGCGCCCACTCCTCCGGCGACTCCCACTCCTTCTTGTTCATGTTGCACCCATACAGGTTGATCACCATCTGAAACAGATGACCATCACTTGTTAGATTTTCAGGGGATTTTGATCACTGCTCGGCGGGCCGACCAGTGATTGAAATTTCGGACTCCCCCAGCAAGCAATTATATCCCGCCCGAGAAAACTTTAGGAGAAGTCAATAACAACAAGTTTGTCCGGTACGATTAAAATATAAGAATCTAGGACCAGATAGGATATTTCTTAATACTACGAATCAGAACAGAGGAAATATCCCATCCAGTTATAGGCTCTTATATTTTGGAACGGGGGAGCGTATCCTATGCACACAGGCCTTCGCGTGTACACACCGTGTACACCAACTAAAAATTATCACAAAAAATTCTAGGAAAATTTATACATGTACTTTCAATAGTATTACATCTACGTGCAAAGTCGCATCTTCAAATTCATTCTACATAGAGAATAACAAAAAAGATAAAATTCTGACAAAATAGCAACCTTAAAACTGTCAGATTTTTTCTTTGTTACGGCTAAAATATAATGAATTTGACGTTAAGATTTTAACCCTAGGTGTAATACAATTGAAAGTATGTGTATGATTTTTTCTAGATTTTTTGGTGACATTTTTTAGTTGGTGTGCATGTGTATACACTTGAGGGCCTGTGTGAATAGGATATGTTGCCTTGGAACGGAGGGAGTATTGAATTTAACGGGATGTGCCAAGGCAGGTTTGAAAAAAGGATATAGAAGAAAAGTGGAGCTTAGTCTTCTTTTTTTTTCTTAGACTAGAAAAAATACCCGGGTGAAGTCTATTTTAATCTTCTTATTGTTATATGGTTTAGTTAAGATGAAATTCACTGTGAGAGTTCGCTTGGATAAATATATTTTTAGAAAATCATGAGCTGTAGTTAGGAATCCGATCATCCCAAGTTAGCATGCGAGTTTTTTTAAATAGATTTCTTATATGATTCCTTCCGTATTACGAAAAGTGAACGATCTTAAAAACCGACTCAAACATGGATATGTATTTCCAAAAGCAAACGAACTTAAAAACCGACTCATACACGATGACGCACCAAAATACCGGCAAAAACATCTTCAATTTTTATAATAACTAGAAAAAATACCCATGCGTTGCAACGTGTGAAGTCTATTTTAATCTTATTATTGTTATATGGTTTAGTTAAGATAAAATTCACTGTGGGAGATCACTTGTATATATATATATGTATATATATATATATATATATAATCATGAGCTACAGTTAGGAGTTCGATCGTCTCAAGTTAACATGCGAGTTTTTTTAAACATATTTCTTATATAATTCCTTCTGTATTACCAAAAGTAAACAATCTTGAAAACCGACTCAAATACGGATATATATTTTTAAAAGCAAACGAATTTAAAAACCGACTCATACACGCATGACGTACCAAAATACCAGCAAAAACATCTTCAATTTTTATAATAGTAGAGATAGAGATAGAGAAGATATATAGATTAAAATCAGAACATAAAATTAAAACCGACTCAAACACGGATGACGGATCGCAGAAACATCTTCAATTTTTATAATAGTTGAGATTTCTTGTTTTCTTATGGTCCAGTGTAGATATAGAGGTTGTATTTTTAACCATTATCTTTAAAAAAGCCTTTCATTATCTTGCAAAGTTTTTATGAATTTAGTCAAAATTTTATTCAAATTCAATTAAAATTTCAAATAATTTCGTGCAAAAAGAAGTACCAAAAACACCAAAGTTTGTGAAATTTTTGGCCGAAACCGAAAGTGCAAACCCTGCCGGCCCGCCATTGTCACATGGTTGTGCTTACCTCGGTGCCGGCGGGGACATCGTAGCCGGCGAGCATGGTGTCCTCGTTGACGAACCTCGGAGGTATGAGCGGGACAGGGGAGTGGCGGCGCAGCGTCTCCTGGAAGACGGCATTGAGGTACGGCAGCCACGGCAGGTGCTCCTCGGTGACCGCCTCGTCGCCGCACACCTCCCGGATCTCTTGGTAAAGCCGTTCCTGTCATAAATGCCAAGAATGCCAAGAAAAAGACCAAAAAAAAAAGTATTGGTTGATAAAGCCAAGAATGCCAAAAATGAGCTGGAACAGAGTAACAATATTTCTTGCCTGTTTGTCAGGGTTCTTGGCAAGCTCATACATGGCCCATTCTGTGGTGACCAAGGTAGTATCTGCAGCCTCTATGAGTGCCTCCCACACTAGCATCATTAGTTGCTCATCTGTCAGTGTGTTCTCTGCCAGCAAGAAGTCCAGATAGCATGTCCTTGCCTGCACATATATCTCAGTTTCATGGAGTCAAAAGAAGATGATCTCTTCAATTGAATCATTTTCCTGATGGCTTTAGATTGAATTACCATCAAAATGGTGTGTTTTCAGTAAGGCCAATGTATTTAGCCTTAATCAATAATAGTTATATTGAGAGAAATAAGATCATTTGAAAACTTAAGATGCCGCTCAAGATTAAAATCTTCATGTGGTACTTGCTCGAAGGGGTTGTTTTAACCAAAGATAATTTAGCAAGACGAAATTGGAATGGAAGCTTAAGATGTTACTTCTGCATGAAAAATGAGACTATCCAACATCTGTTTATGGATTGTCATTTTGCGAAATTTGTTTGGAGGGCGGTACAGTTTGCTTTTGGTTTATACCTCCCTAATACCATATCCCATATGTTTGATGGTTGGCTTTTGGGGTTGACAAGAAGAAGAGCAAACTAATACTTGTAGGAGCATCTACTATATGTTGGGCTCAGTGGTTGAGTAGTAATGATTTGATTATTGACAAATTACCATCTTTCTCATATATGCAGGCAATTTTCAGGGCAACATATTGGCTCCGGTCTTGGGCACAACTACAAAAGTGTGATGAAGATGGAGAGCTTCTAAAGGTTGCATGTCGTAAGCTTGAGACGACGATCATGCAACTTTTTGTCAATTATGGATAAAGATTCACAAATAGACTTGAATAATTGTGTGCTCTTTATCTTTGGTTTGGTCGCTTTATTTTTTTTCTTGAGTGTGTTTAATTTGGTTTGATCTACACTCTTTTGTTTGAGTGATTCTTTGTAATAATGGGCTGTTTATTGAGCAAAAAGTCGGGATGTTATCTATTCCATTATAAAAAAAAAAAGATGATCTCTGGAAGTAATAACATTATTTTGGCATAGAAGCAAAGATGAAAAATGTCATTTGACAAAGTATGCCTTTGCTCACCTCTCCACGCACAATCCTTTCCTTCTGCTGCTTGATCAAGGCGCGCATCACCGCAGTTCGTCTAGATTCTGTAGTAAACACTCTTGTTTCGAAGCTCTTGTTTGGAACCCAGCTGAGGTAGGGGAAGAAATCTCTCCAGTCGACCTCAATTGCGCACATCATCATGTCAGTCACAGTAGCATTGTAGATTTCTTCCTTCGAAATGTCCCTCCCAAATTCATCCACATAGACTGAACTCACATCCTCTCCTAAGCTCTGAAGTTTGCGACATTAATTATTAGTACCGAAAATAACAAATCGACCATCTGACAGTTCAAGTTCAGAGAGACAATCCAAACCTGGATCATGGACAACCGGAATAGCTCATCCTTGAAAACATCTCTGAATATCAGAGGAGCATGTGGGTCATCTTTCACCAGTTGATGGAAAGTGCTTAACATGTTATTGATGATCATATCTCTTGTGTCACGAAATTGTTTCTGAAATTTATGAAAACGCGTTGCGTTGTTAGACCACAGATAAGTGAAACTCTGAAAGTGTAACTGGTAGCAGATAATCAATATTGGAAATGCAGACTGGAGTTATTGAGAACAATCAGTACTAAAAATGAAAAATGAAATTGTTGAGATGTATACCTGTGCAGAAGTACCCAGCATGCTTAACATGATATAACGCTTCCCCATTTTGTGGAAATCACCACTGTCGCTGGTAGCAACCATGGATTTATCATGACTAAGCACTGTTAGTGCTTTGGATAGCTTTCGGGTAGATATGGATGAGAATTTTGCAACCATCGCCTGCAAAAGAGAGTACAGTATTGGTTTGTGTTATTTATGATCAAATCAAATGTGAGACCATCATTTTAGAGTTATGCAAGTCGATAGAAATGATAGACAACTTCTAAGTTACCTCCTTGGCTACTTCAGTTGAATTGAGCACAACTACGGAAGAAGCCCCGGTCCTTATAGTGTAGATTGGGCCATAAATTTCAGCCCATTTTGTGAAGGTCTGATGAGGCTTCTTTTCTTTCAATTGATGCAGATTTCCGATTATGGGTAAACCAGGAACAGCTGCATGACAATGAAATAAGGAATAAGTTCATTTGAGGTCCCTTAGCTTTACACCGAATCCGATTTTCGTCCTTAAACCCCAAAACTAGATATAACAGGTCCCTGAACTGTCAAAACCGGCACAAACAAGATCCCTTGACGATTTAGAAGGCGGTTTTAACTGACGTGCCAACTACATGGCTGGTTTGACTAGGTCTTCGTCCCACGTGGTATTGACGTGGCGCTTACGTAGCAATTATATCTCGGAAAAATAATAAAAACCGTGGGCTCAAATAATTTAAAAATGGTTAAATTGCGAGACGAATTAAGCCTAATTAATCCGTAACCTACTAGACAAATTTATTAAGCCTAATTAATCTATTATTAGCAAATATTTACTGTAGCAACACACTATCAAATCATGGAGCAATTAGGCCTAAAAGATTCGTCTCGCAATTTAGATGCAATCTGTGTAATTAGTTTTTTCCGTTTATATTTAATACTCCATGTATGTTTCCAACATTCGATGTAACAGGATGAAAAAATTTGCCAGGGATCTAAACAAGCTCTACATGGAGTGCTAAGTATATGCTTAATTAGCGGCATTACTAAAATGAAGACCAGATGGTCAGAGAGAAGAATTAAATTTAAAAATACACTGTTCATTCGTTGGTTTCTCAAAAATATTCAGAATGTAAATTTATTAGAAGAAATATACCGTCGATCTCGTATAACCATTCCGCGAAAGTGACGTGGGAGTGACGTCGTGAACGGTCTCGCGCGAGGAGAACGCGAGACTGCACGGTATCGCGTGATCATAGCGCGAGACCGGTCTCGCACGACGAAATAGCACTGAACGACGGAATCGAGGATGTACGCGGTGGCGACGTCAGACCACGTGGTCTCGCGCGGCCAAACCGCGAGACCGAGCAGTCTCGCTCAGTCAGTGAGCGATAGCGACTGCCTCTGCCGATTGAATAAGGTTAATTAGTGATTAATTAATCGCTAATTAGAATAATTAATCACTAATTATTGTTAATGAATCATTAATTAGGGTAATTAATGACTAATTAAGTAGCTCCGTTGGACATGACATTTGGTCTCGCTGATTCTTTATACGAGACTGTTCGGTCTCGATGCTTCATCACACGATACCGTGCGGTCTTGCGCTCCTACCACGCGACACTGGTATATTTTCGCTAAAAAGTATATATCACGAATATTTCTACGAAAAACCAAATTAATAGTATATTTTTAAATTTAATTCGAGAACTAAGACCCAAAACTAAAAACGGAAGGCACAATAGGCTTAATATCTAAAGCTAAATCGATTAGAACTAGGTGTAATCATATTCTACGAGTCGTCGTGATTGGCCGTTTGTTCGTATTCTGCTATCCATCTTCTACAGTTCTACGAGTCATATCACGTTGATCGTGATAACATGTTAAGTTTTAAGGCCCCATTACACCTTACGCACCATAACCTCTAATTCCTTCTACGGCCCTCTAATTCCACCAACCACACCTCCATTTATAGTTCGTTTAAATAAAATAGTAGGGTGGTCCGCACATTTGCAACTTGATTTTTTTTAAAGTTTTAATATCTAACAATATTACTCAAAAACAAATATTCACATATTTGCATGTTGATAATGTGCATTTTTATCTATTTACACAATCACACACTACCAAAGTTTCTCTTATATTCAACCATCAATACCAGTCTGCATCATGCTCAATCACAGTTACTATTTGATACTCCCTACAATCTAGTCTCTATTCTAGGATGATTGAGCAAGATGCAGACTAGGTCTGCTTCTCACTTATTCATACTTAATTATTTGATAGTACCAGATTGAGCAGGATGCAGACCTGGTCACTTTCCTGTGCGACAAGTGTTGTTTCTATTCAAAATTTCTTTCTACTCTAATTTTACCAACACAGACATACTTTTGTCTTTGTCTTACGTGGATAGAAATGGAATTTTCTATTCTAGGGGTGTTTAGATCCATCGGTGTAAAGTTATTATATAGGGTGTTGCATGGGGTGTTCGGGCACTAATAAAAATACTAATTACAGTATTCGTCAGTAAACCGTGAGACGAATTTATTAAGCCTAATTAATTCGTTATTAGAACATGTTTATTATAGCACCACATTGTCAAATCATGGAGCAATTAGGCTTAAAAGATTCGTATCGTAAAGTAGTCGCAATCTGTGTAATTAGTTATTTTTAAGCCTATATTTAATATATACTTCGTGCAGGTGTTCAAACGTTCGATGTGACAGGATGTAAAATTTTAGGTGGGATCTAAACATCCTGATATTTTAGGACCATGCTACCCTCGCACATCTACGTCCAATTAAAAAAAAAAACCCTTGTATTCAAACTGGAAAGCAGACAGCTAGTCAAATTTGTTCATGGATTCAACATAATATGGTTCCACCATGATCTAACAGTGTAGATTTTGTTTTTTTTCTACAATTAATGTTGTAAATTCTAGTCTCCATTGCAAACATGATATCTCCTTCCAAGAATATCTTAATAATATTATAGATAAATATAGTTTCATCTCGAACCATAATTAATCTCGTGTTATGTTTTAGACCAACACTTCTCTCAATATTCCATAACTTTTACATCCAATTTTAGTTATATATAAAATGTATTTCCGAATGGACTCTCTTTTTTCTTTTTCCCCACAAATGTTATTTTATACGTGTTATTTCTATATTTTTAAATCATACTTTGAATATTTAATTATTATATATTCTATGGACTCCTCTTGGTATGTTGTCTTACTTATTTTTATTTTTTTCCCAAATTTTCATGATTCTTTTAAATTTTATTTGGAATTAGTATTGTAATATAGTTTATTATATTTTTTTTATTTTGAATATAACTAATCTCGTGTTGTGTTACAGGTTGACTCCTCTTTTTAGTACTTCTTTTTTACGAGTTTTAGTTATTCCCAAATTATATTTTTATTTGAACTCTTTTATTTGTTTATTCTCAATTTTAATTAATCTCATGTTATGTTTAGATAGACTTTTCTTTGAAAATTTCTTGTTTTAATTTCAAATTTATGTTATTTCTGTATTTGAACTTATTTTTCTTTTTCTTCAATTAATATAGAAGTTTATAGCCTCTATAACAAAAGTGGTGCATTATTTTAAGTTGTCAGTTTAATAAAAACGAAGATGAAAAAATATTTACACCGTGGGGGTAAGCTAGTGTAGTACTCCCTCTGTCCCACTTAGTAAGTTGTGCACTCAATTTAAGATTCAGTTCTTTAAATTTTGACCAATAATACTTTATTATAAATTATGTCTTATTTGACAAAAATAATATCATTGAATTTATATTTGAATTTACATGCATATAATTGTGATTTTGTTGCTACAAACATTTTTCTATTTTTTTGTATAATTTATGAAGATAATTTTGATTTTGTATTTTTATAATTTATGCAGATAAGGGTCATACCGTATTCATCTTTGTATTTTTTTTTCCAGATACAAAACCGAATAGGTCGGATATGAAAACAAATAAGAATTATCTCTAATGCAAATAATCATCAAATATATCCGACACGAATACCAAGAATTTATTTCTCGGAACACAAAAACCACCTAAACATTTAATAGAAACAAACACCAACACACATAATTAGCTCTTTTTATATAATAAGGTTGATCATAGACTAAACAGTGCTAATTAAGTTCTACATGCATGTATAACAGAGTTGGTAAAAATACATATATAACTGATATTATAATATATAAATATAGTATATTTTATAAAAATATTTAAAAATTTAAATAATATTAATAATAAAATCTAAAGAGGTATGTTAAAGATGAGTTAGAGAGAAATGGTATATGTTTTATGTCTTCAGCAGATATGCGATATATGTATCCGACAAAAATTCTGATACCATATTCTTGTTCGCATCCGGGAAAACAAATATATGTAAAAACTATCCAATAATTATCTGCTCCGCACGATATCCGTATTCATTTTTCTTCTGTAGCAGAAACTATCCACTCCATTTTCATCGCTAATTAGGGTCATCAGCTGCATGCCATCTCCAACATTTCAATGAAGCTAGATAGGTAGATATATATCCACAGGCCAGGAAGCGGACGGCAAAACACGGCAATGGATCGATCGAACGATCGACGAACGGGCCCGGCCGGCCGGTTACCTGGAGGCGGGTTGCGGCGGTTCTTGGGCGGTGCCACGGCGAGTGTCGCCGCCGCGATAAACCCCCCGACGGCCGCCGCCGCCACACCGATCCCTCCCGCACCGGCTGCGAGCAGCGACTCCATGGCCGACCCCTACTCAGATCGATCGATCACACAGGCTCACTGCGAGAGTTTGCACTTGCACTGCATTCTCTTGATGATCAATCCCCGGTTTAGTACTAGTATTATATATAGGGCTGCGGCTGTGTTCGCCATTGCTGGTCCCCAATGGGAACAGTACGCACGGAAAACATAGCAATCCATTAGTGTGTGATTAATTAAGTATTAGCTAATATTTTTTAAAAATAAATTAATTTGATTTGTTAAGCAACTTTCTTATAGAAACTTTTTTTAAAAAACACACCGTTTAGCAGTTTAAAAAACGTATACGCGAAAAACGAGGGAGAGGGGGCTGGGAAAAGGGGCAGCCGAACAGAGGCGCCTTCGCTGTCCGAACCCGCATATATGTTCATGCATGGCGCTTAATTTCTTTTACCCTCAATTTGATTGACTTGGGAACTTAGGTCGATAAAATTATGCTGCGCTCCTAGTATTCTGAGCACCAAACATGTATCAGCCCAGGTCTACCTCGCCCCACGTCCCTTTATCCCACTCCCACCGTTATCGAAGTAAACGATTTATTTCGATAAAAACAACTTTCCAGTTTCCACATCCCATCATCCCGCTCCCATCGTTATTGGAGCAAATGATTTATTTCGATAAAATCAACTTCCCTACTTCTGGTATATATTATATTTTTCCATGTACCCAACTAACCACTCTCACCCCCACTTCATTTTTTCCTCTTTTTTTTTGGATCTAAATCGATTCACCATCCTAGCCCATAGATCTGTGACGCACCATGGAGGAGGACGACGGCACCGTGGCAGTTGAGGCGAAGGTGTTGCATGGGGCCTCATTGCCAGACGCTGGGTAGCACCGTAACCAACAAGGATGTGTTCACTTGGGCCAAGAGCAACAACCGGCGGCTGCTCCACGTCGACGACGTTGATTGATAGGACAAGCAAGTAAGGAAATGGCACTCCAATTTGCATCTGTATACCCTCCTTCACCTTCATGCATGAAGCCCAATTTCCTTTTGCAAATCAAATTAACGTACAATCTCCAATATTACCTAATGTGAATTGATGGGCTACACAGGTTCTACATTTACACACCGTGCTACATGTGGATGGCCGTAGAGGTAGAGGATATTATGAAGTCCACTGGTGATGGTGATCGTTTGTTATTTTTCTTTGGCTCGTCGTGTCTATGACAGGAACGAGAGTGTTTTTGCATTTTTTTTTATGCTTGCTAGATGATGGATGGCTGCTACTTCGCATCATCAAGCTCATCTCTATACCACGCCGCTACATCCTTCTATGATTCCATCATCGACTACCGCTCACCACCCAGTTGCCCTATCCACTACCAGTCACAAGACATAGACTAACCTCTCCATCCTTATATATAAAAAGATCTAGCAAAGCCACCAGGATCCTAGCTTCAAGATGGATTTTTGACTGAATCATTTTTTTTCTTTTCTAGTTTGATTCACTTGTGAGTAATTTATCACTTGCGTATGATTGAGCCTATAATTTTTTTACTCGTATGGCCATTTTGTGATACAGATTAATAATACTCTTAGTATCAGTTTTTAGTATCAGTTTTTACTCTTATACTGTGTATTGAACACATCAGTAAACATATTATTATACGGTGGCTATAAGATCATAGGTTATATCGAGAGGAAGGTGCTAGTTATCTTACTCGCAGACCATGAAGTCTAAACAATATTTATAACAAATCACCCACATATTTTGGAAACCCTCTATTAAGGGAATTTGGTTTATTTTTTGTTCCAGAAAAAATGTTTCACCTAGTGTACTCACAATGTTTCACTATGTATAGGTCTAATATTGCAGTGAACTGAAATATTCCATTGCAACAAAAAACCCACATATTTTGGAAACCCCCTATTAAGGGAATTCGTTTCATTTTTCGTTCCGCCGAAAAATGTTTCACCTAGTATACTTATAATGTTTCACTATATATGGATCAAATGTTGCAGTGAACTGAAACATTTTTTCGTTATTTGCTGAAACATTATTTTTATATAAGGTGAAACAACACCTGATTTAAATGAGTGAAACATTTTCGATGAAACCATTCCGATATACCTAGTGGAACATCGTGCAATATTTAAAAATAATTCAATAATAAGCTAAATTTTTTTCGTCAGAATATATCCATGTGTGGTCTTGTTTTGAAGATTTAATTGTAATGAATTTAATGGTGCAATCAGATCATGATTTGGATAAGTAATTTAAGAGAAAAATCAGTTTAAAGTAGTTTTGCACGTAAATCGGCTGCTGACGTCATGCTGACATCAGCGCCCGATTTTAACCTCTTCCCATCGGGCGCCTGAGCCGGAGTCGCGTCCTTGTAAGCTGGTAGTAATTCTTTTACAGCCATCTAGGAATGGTGCCGTATGATGTGAGTAAATTTATTACTTTTGAAGGGGGTATTTATGTGAGTAAATTTGTCACTTTTAAATGAGCAGATGTGGGAGTCTGGGAGTAGATGGAAAACTCTGGGCCAGAGTAAATTCGTTAGTTTTGAAATGTGGGGAGACTGTAAAAACAGAAAACTCGGAAAGAAAAACTAACAGCAAATATTTTACTAAACACAAAAACAGAAAAACTGGAGAGAATGAATGTAACACGAAATCTGGATGGTTAATATTTTATCAGGCCCTTTCATGGAGCGCATATGAGATGGAAAAGAGAAAAAAAACACGAAAGGTGGGGTGGTAAAAAAACGGACAGAGAAAAGGTGGGATGCAGAGGAAAGGTGGGTGCCAAAAAAGGGTAAAACCGAAAGGAGGGAGCATTGTGCGGCGCTCGAACTAATATTCCGCGCGCAGCGTGTATTAGCGCCACCGAAAATTATATCTATTTTTTTAAAGAAGGTAACATAATTTTCGGATCTCAGGGATTCCGAAAATTATATAAATCGATATACTCCCTCCGTTTTCATGTTAGAAGATGTAATTGAGCATGGTTTCCGAAAATACCAGCAGCTGGTTGGCTCACCAAAGCTAGTCAAACAAACGTTTTTTTACCAATATCATGAGCATGGTTTGAAACTACAGAGCGAAAATTTGGGAATTTTGGGTCTATCAGATCCCTGATAAGAAATTATTTTACCCAAAATTTTGGATTTATTTGGTAAAAAATATTCAATTTTAAACTATTTTTTTTTAAAAAAAATATTTAAGAACAAAACTACCGTAATTTCTGAAATTTCGGTACTATCCATACACGAACAAAAATAGTAAAAACCAACACTGCACTCTGATAGTCAATGGCGATAACTGCAGCACGGTTTGGAGTCCAAATGACCCGCACCACAGATTAGTTCATTAATTGGTCATAGCCACCGGTCCTGCTGGTGTGTTATTATTCAAAGTTCAAACAATGTGTTACTGCTCAGGACAACTACTTCAGAAGCATGTACGTACTAAAGCTTGAATCAGTTGGAAGTAATCGTTGAAATTACTTGTGTACAATTAATATTGCTATAATGGCCAATTTATCATCGAAAGACAAACAGTTCTCTTAAACTTGGACAAAAATAATAAAGTAATTACTCCCTCCGTCCTATAATATAATGGATTTTGGAGGGATGTAATACATTCTAGGACCATGTATCCCCTGCTTTGATTGTCAATATTGATTTTGCCCCTATTTTTAGGGTTTTCGTTTTTACCCCTACTTTTTTTTAAATGAATCAACCGTTTGCCCCTGTTTCATTAAGTTTTGCTAACGGTGTTAAATATGGGGGGTAAAAAGACAAGTATACCCTTAGATATTTTCCCGTACTTTTGACATAATCAAAATAAAAATTGATTGCTGTCATTATAGCAGTAATTTAATTTGTCAAAATTTTGTGAAAGTTGCCAAAATTTAGGTCAAATTTGAAAAGTGGTGTACAAAAATACGGGAAAATATCTAAGGGTATACTTATCATTTTTACCCCACATTTAACACCTTAGTAAGAATTAACAGAATAGGGGCAAATGGTTGTTTCATTTCAAAAAAGTAGGGGCAAAAACGAAAATCTTGAAAACCAGGGGCAAAATCAATATTGGACATCGGAGTAGGGGCAAGAACGAAATTGCCCCAAAAAATTAAGAGTTGCAGCCCTATCAAATATGTCCTTATAACTTACAGGCATGATAAACAAACCTTAGAGTTTACTTATAAGGGTTTTATATGATTATCCCCTTGATTTGGCTATTTACAGGGGCATTCTTACCCTTTCATAGCCTATCATGGGCCCATCGGACATAACCAAGGTGGCCCCTATTAGGAGCCTTCTCCTGAGCCAGTCATCCTCGGCCTAGCTATCCTGCGAGATTACGCTTGTGATTATGACTCATAGCTGTCATGCTCTGATTTTCTCCCAAGGATTAAAATTATTCGATAATTTATACTAAAACTTAAACCATTTACAAAGTGAAGTTATTGTTGGAAATAAAATTTTCTTTAATAAATCATTGTTGGAAATATTTATTAAAGGAATTAAATCTAGCCTCTAACAGGAACTATTTTTTATTGTCCATTTTCGTATAGTATGTATACCACATCCCACAATTGTTGCGATACAACATAATCTCTATCTCTACTATTATTAAAATTAAAGATGTTTTTATTGGGATTTTGGTATGTCATTTATAGTATCAACTAGGTGATACCCCGCGCATTGCCGCGGGATTCATGAATGAATATATGTTAAATATTTTTGAAATGATAAAAGTTGAAATGTTGAGAAAATAATTTGAGGAAGATGATTTGACACATACTTATTGATATATGAGTAAATTATATTGCCGGTACACGAACTTGTTCAGGTGGGTGCAAAATTTAGTGCACGAACTTGCAAAATGCTCGTTTTGGTGCATGAACTTATCTGGTGCATGTGGAGGAAGGTGAAAAGGACACTACATGTCTAATCCTATTGATTTAGAAGCAGATTAGGATATTGTGTAAACATATATCTGAGAAGGTTGCTATTAGACATACACCTTTTCAATAAAAAATAGAATAGGATATAGTGATTGGAGAAAAGGATTAAAAAATTCGAGCAATGATATA